CAACGTCTGCATTCTCAAGCTCAAGCCCCAGGTGTTTTTCCTCCTTTGGCTCCTCCTCTGTCGGTTCATCGTCTTCCTCTTCGACGACCCTCACCATTCGAGCTCCACCGCCATTCTCTTCAAGGTCCCTCATCCGGCCACAATTCAGCTTCCAACTTCGAACTCCCGACAACTCGGGTCGTCTAGGAGGATAGGGTCGGGCCTCTCCATCGTTTTACCCCCGCCAGTCGCGATCGCCGTTGCCGGGTTCTCGGCCTTCCTCTCGCCTCCGCTAGACACAGCTCTTCCTCTCCTACTAACAGATGTGAACCTCTTCATCACGATAGATTACAACGTTTGATCGGCGGCTAACTTTCCCTCCTCAGCCGGATTATCCCAAGAAACCTATAAATAAGAAATTCATATTCTAAGACGACTTTTCTCGATTTAAAACCCCTTTTTATCTACCCAGACACCCTCTCCTCAAAGTCTCATCCTCAAACCGCACTCCAAAGGTCCCCTAACCCCCTTTTAAAATTTTCTAGAAATACTCCCTTCAAAACCAACCATTTTTACTAATTATTTTTGTCTTGGACGAATTTTTCACCTAACTTGAACCTTCTTAACAATTTGGATAATAATTTTCCTATGTCAATCATGAGAAACTATACCTTGAAAACTATCAAACCCCTGAAAATCCCTCAGAAATTTTTTTATTTAATTAAAATCAGCATTCATCTAATTTCTAAATATTACAATTCATCTTCAAAAATCACCAAATTAAATTATAGCCATCCCCTAGAACCCTCTCAATTTATAAAATTGTTAAACCCTCAAACCAACACCCATAGAGGCTCGAAACAATTAAAACATCTAAAAACATGTTTCTGGAAATTCCCTGCAGCTTTAGTGACCACCCAAAATCGATCTATATAACCCAAAGGGATCGAGTTCCCTTACCTCTAGAACGTGTCTAGGACTATATTGGATGGCCCGGGACGTTGATCTCCTCGTTGATCGATGATCAAACCCTCAAATCTCGCAGCAAACGCTATAGTACAAAAATACGAGTTTCGGATTAGATTGTCGATGAATCGAGTTTAGAATCGTGAAAGGGTTCGTGATCCTTACCTAGAAACACGAAAGGGATGAGATCGGGATCGGGGTCGGGAAACAGGGTGGAGACGGCGGTCCTCTTTCTTCCCTTTTTCTTCTTTCTTCTCGCCGCGCGGTTGCAGGGGAATGACAATTGTGGTGGGCGGGGTTTTTTCTGGGGAAGGGCTGAGGATTATGTTTGCTGGGGGATATAAATTAGGGTGGGAAGGGTTTAAGTGAGGCCGCTCGGCCTCTTATGGCTGGCGGACCTATATTTTTTATTAATTTTTTATAATTTGCGTTTGCAACTCTTAGTACGTAACCGTCAAACTAACCGCTCATTTAATATGGTCGAACCCAAATCTAAAATTCCGGGATGTTACAAAATGTCTAAGTGTGGGTTTTGATTCGGGCTCATTTGTACACTTTTTACCCCCCCGGTTTGCTTAGTCGTTTGAAGCATTTTTACTCGAGGAGGTTTGGTTTTATGTTCGGTTGTGCTTTGTTTTGGTATTTTTCGGGCTTTGGCAAGTGGAACCAAACCCGGAGTCAAAAGTTGGACGAAAGGGCGAAAGATCACGTCAAATGGTGGAAACAGCAACAGTTCACGGTTTGGGTTGTGAGTTCACGGTCACTAAGACCGTGAACGGGAGGCGCTCCCCGCGAATAGCCAGGCATCCAGAGCACGGAAGGGTTTCACTGGACACGAGCAAGTTCACGGTCAGAAGACCATGAACTCAAACCTCCGTCCGTGAACAGAGTTAAGTGATGCAACGCGTTTCATCGTTGGTTCACTGTCTGTGCTTTCAGTTCACGGCTGTGAACTAAGACCGTGCATTGAGCCCGATTTGGGTATATAAAGGAGGTTGAGCCAAAGGAAAAAAGGAAGAGACCTAGTGTGAGAAACATCTTCTTCTTCAGATTTTGTAGATTGAGAAAGTGACGAACCAAAGAAAAGTCACTACAAGAAAAAGATCCTTCAATCACGGGTAATCCCGTGTCTGAAAGTGTGTTTCCCGTGTTGAATATTTTTGGACACGGTAAAGTTACCGTAATATATACCTCTGTGTCTTATTGTAAAGGTCACGGGAAACTTGTATCGTTATTAGTTTTAACTAGTCACGGTATGATTTCCCATGATAACTTTTACCTATTAATCACAGGAAAAACCGTCTCTAATGTCAAATTTTGAAGCACATATCCAAGAAAAAATTAAAGAGGGGATGCGTTGTTTTTAAGACGATATTAACCATGATAAAATCATTTCCCATGACTAGATGTCAATCAATAGTCATGGTATTTACGAATCCTAGCAAGATATTTTCTTAGATAATTACAAACCACTATACACATATTAACATACAAATTGAAAAGACAAACTATTCGTAGCACAAGATTCTAATATTATTGTCAATATAACAGGTACAAAAATCATTCGATGATTAATTAAGTTACAAATAAAAGAAACTTATTCTTGTAGGTAGACAAATATAAGAGAGAACATTTTGTTGCTCTATTACAAAAATCATTCATTTAAGTGAAATTTACCAACATGTCGTAAGGGTTGAATATTGATGACTCGATATTTGCACATGTTTTCCCCTTTGTTTCTTGATCGTTTAAGCTTGCATTATCGCTTCTTTGACCTATTTTATGCTAGGTTTTGTTCCTTTGTCACATTTCAGGTCCTAGCACATAAAGTGAAGCGTAGGCGCAAGTTTCAAGTCAATCGGAGATCAATTGGCGACTCGGGGGAAGAAACTCGGGTATGAATTGAAGAAGATTGGATTTCTACCTCAGTTTGTGACCATATAATCATGTAATCTTGTACTGAGAAGAAAGAGGACGAGACTACGAGCGTCTGGGATCAAACGACACCTGATTTGGAGTCCGAACGAGGGAGAAACGAAGAATCAAAGATAGGGGAAAATTGGTTTAGGCTTCTCTGAGAAACAGAAGGGGGCCCTGTTGTGACGCTAAAATCCCCGGTAGGGGATTTTTGGCCTTGACCGGGGATTTTTTCCTGTCTCCAGACGTTGCGTTTTGAAAATCCCCGGTTGCCACCTAAAATACCCGACAGGGGATCGCGAACGCAGGCTGTTAAAAGCCTGTTTTGTGCGTTTTTGCAAGGAGGGTGCTGGGTTTTGGATCCCAAACACCCAAGGGACGAACCAAAGAGAGATAAGGCGATCTGAGGGCATTCTTGGAGTGTAATTGGAGGATTTCTTCGCCTTGGAAGCTCGAGGAACAAGCCCGGACTTGAACACTGATCATCTGAAGATTCTTACTGCAGTCTCTCTCTTCTCTATGGAGTAACTTCCCTTCACTTAGGTTTTGAGGAACCCTAGCTATGTTTGTTTGATTGGATGATTGTATGAGTACTCTTACTTGATAATCTGGATTTCATATTCAATCTATGCATGTTTTCATGATTCAATTCTGCTTTAGTCGAGATTATTGATTCTGCTTTGATCTTATGAGAGTGAATACCTGATTAGGTCAATAGAGCACCATAGATTGATAGTATTGGATCGATTGCTTTAGTCGAGGGTTGATTCAATGCTTTGTATCGATTGAGAACCTCATTCGATAGAGGGAATCTAGTTCAGAACGCCTTGATCGGTTGCTCTAGAGAAGGATACGTCCCTCTAGGCAATTGACTCAAGAGGGCATTGTTCCTTTAGTTGAGACTCAAGGTCTAGTGAAGGATTCTCCGCATTGTTAATGAAAATGAAACAGGTTAGAGATCATCAATCATTAATCTGGCTAGTGGCTAGGGGGAATCATACCTAAGTGAGTTCCCAACCTGTAATTAGATTAACTTTAACTGTAGTTTGCTAGAGTAGTTTTAGTTCTTTCATCTTAATCTGGTTTACTAGATAATGAACTGAAGCTGAGTAATAGTAACTCTAGAGACCCGTGGATTTGATATTTATTACTTGAGCCACTATACTGCAGTCCCTTTCATTGGTTACAGTTGGCCTTTGTCAGGAGTTGTGTCATAGCGAGTCAAATATCATCTTGTGAAAGCCCAATAAGCAAGGGAATCAGAATATGCAAACAACAACAACTGGGGAAGGCAAATGAAACATTCAACACACACCAGAGGGAAGTAATCAACGACTTTCACCGAAAAGATCAATCACTAGTTCATCAAGCTTTGGTGAGAAGCACTGTTGATGTAGATGAACTAATCACCAAAGTTAGTCATAGGAAATATATCAGTGATTCAACAAGAAATAGATTGCATTAAATTTCAGAGAAACATAGTAAAGAAAGGTACCACTATTTCTCTATGAAGTTGATGAAGCAAGAAGTCGATCACCTTAGCAAATTTATCAGTTCCAATCATCTACCCATTTCAAATAATCATTTTGTAAATCTTAACCAACAAGAGCTAAACTTAGAAGATTCAAAGAAAATTTCATCCTATAGAATTAATACTGCAACAAAATTCAACACACTATTCGTAGTTAAAACCAAGTAATATTGCTTCTTGAAAAAAATTGTATTGATTCTAAAACTGCCTTTTTAGAATAATGAGGGAGCAAAAATTGATAGAAGCTAGGCAGGACCAGTAAAGAGATCATAAGGGAAAATCTGAAAGTTTAAACATTCACAAGCCTCCATCTCCAATTACTAACGATGGCCCTGGTCATTTGAATATAGCTGCTTGTTGCCATTGCCTTAAACTGTAAAATGGAAAAATAGTGCACTCATCCAAAAATGTCACCAGGTATGCGTCGAGTATATGGTTTTACAAAACATGAGAATATCATTAATAAGGAATCGTTACCAGCTCACCAGGAATATCATGAATAAGCAATCGAGATTACAACTTACCTCCTCTGCAATCTTTTCTAACTTGTAAGTTGCATATTGAGACTTCAAAAGAGCAACCAAAAGACTTCAATCCTTGTTCCAGTTTAAGATAAATGATATTTAAGAGTGAATTCAAGGTTATAAACTTTGTAACTAACCCCACAAAAGCTCAACGCTTGGAGAATAGAGGAGCCTTGCAAGCTTTCTTGAGACAAAGCTTCTTCCTCCCCACAATCCTTGAGTAGCACATCAGAAGCTCTTTCAATTTTAGAGGCAATCTGTGGATGGCACTGGCCTTCAGAAACGCCCGAACAATTCCCAGTGAGATCGCCAGGACCTAGCCGGATAGCCCCCCGCCATAAGCTTTCAACAACACGTCGTAGCCACTCTCATACCCAATGTCACCAATGGGACTTGAACACTGAATCCGGAGCCAATTCGCCTCCAAATGGTCCATCAACTGCTGCGATGAAGAAAGGAAAGGTTAAACTAAACCACGGGATGAAATCAACAGATTCAAATTGTAAACTCCATTCTTTTCTCCCCTATTAAGCATGTAAAACAAAGAGGAAGGAACTCCCTCCCTGTTCAACTAACGGAACTAAAGAGGTACCCAAAAAAGTAAAGAGCCAAATAGCATTACAATAGCATACTAAAAATGAACACCATACAAAAATTGCAGTAGCTAATCTGCAGCAGAAGCACACATCACGAAAATCACTTAAGCAAAGGACCATACCTCAAGAAATGATGGAGTCTGGTATGATAATAGATTGTGTTGGCCTCAACATCATTAAAGCATCTTAACATACTGTTGCATCTGCAACTACTACCACTTCTAATGACCCGAAAAGAAGCAAATCAGTAGAGCAAGAAATTAAAACCCTTTTGATTCATGAACACGGGTATGCTCAGCTCTCAAAACACATACATCTGTGTAGGTAAACCATGAAATAGAAAATATCATAGGAAAAAAAAAACAATGGCGAATTCAATGGTCGGTATACTTGCAGCTTCATACCTGCAAAGCCATACAAAGACAAGAGTTTTAGTAAATTTCAAACATACCCAATTTTAGAATTCAACAGCCAATCAAGTAATGACACACATATTGAGATCCCAACGTTGTGACAATCCCCTTAAGAATCAAAAGCAAGCCCAAATTGAAGAACGTTGATTCGGTCAAAAATGAAAAATCCCCAATATGTTACACTTGAAACCCTAGAAACACCTCAAAATCAAAATTTCAATCCAAATTCGCAATTGATGCATGAATCGATTCTAAACCAAACCAAACTTCAGAAAGTGGAAGAAAGGTAACAAAGAATGTTAAAAAGAGAAGATTCAACAAAAAATGAGAAGAAAAAACTAGGGCGGAGAAGGACATGTACCTTCTTAACTTGCGAGCTTTGAGGTTTTTTCGACGGATTTGGGATTGGTATTCAAATCTTGGATTGACGAAGGGAGGAGTGGAGGCCACCGATTGGGTTGGGAGAAGGGTAGTGATGAGCCGCAATGGGAGTTTGCAAAACGGGTAGCAGCTGGGATCAAATAAAGGGGCTTTTTAGTCGTGGGAAGATTTGAGAAGGATGTAGAACTATCGCCGATGGAGGAATGGCGGTAGTGATCGAGCAGTAGCAGTAGTGGCTTTTATTTTTTTCTGGAGAATGAAGAATAACACGAGAGAGACAAAGAAAAAGATATTTTAGTTTCAGTCTAAGGAGTTGTTCTTGTTTTTAGTCTTCGTTGTAAAACAGGCGGGACGACAAAATTTTGGGGGGAAACAATGGTGGGAAGACAAAAAAAAATTGCGAACGAGGGAGTTTCTGATTTTGGTGTAATTTTTGAGCCAAAATGAAAGTGGTAGAGTTCCCTCCCAGCATTTAAATTATTTGAATCCTTCTTTATTTTCACCAAAATTTTACAAAAGGTAAATTGTTACCTTGTTTACTGTAATTAATCGTGACTAACAATTAGTCACGGTAAATGAAGACTAAAAATAGGTAAATTGATTCCCGTGTTTAGAACTATACAATTAAATACAGTAACTTTTCCTGTGACTATTAGCATACTTCTTAATACAGGAAAACTTCCCGTGAATAAGATACCGTGTCTAAAAACAGTTTTTCTGTAGTGAGTAGAAGCTAGGGTTTCATCTTCAAGCAAGGAATTGGGTATTCCTCCGCCAAAGGAGGATCTATTCAACACAAGGAGCAATGCTATCATATCTTTGATGGTTTTCCTTCTTCTCCCTTGTGTTTTCCCTTCTCCTAGCATGGAGTAGTCCCTTCTTTCACTTGGGTGTTTGTAAACCCTAGCTACAATTATGTGAATGCTTGTGTGAATTGAATGATTTGTGTGGTTGTGTTTAATGTGAATGTGGAGGTATTATTCATGAATGATTGTGTTGTGTGAAAACCTATCAATCTGATTGCCATTCTAACTTAGGTAGAGAGAAAACCCCCTTCCTTTCATTGAAAGAGGCTTGAATGTTGGGTTTTCCTAGACAATTCATAGGTTGTGGGTTGCCATCCCAACTCCGATTCGAGGGTGAAGTCTAACCAATCCTTAGTCAATAGGTCGCGAGAGTCACATTGGTTGCTTGGATCATATTCCCTATCCTCGACCTAGAGACTAAGAAGGTGGATTTGGCAACTTGTTAGACATCCCTATGGTTTACAACCCCCTCACCACAGACGGCCATTCGATCCATCAAGTCATAATTGCTAGCTAGGGGGAGCAACGCTTGGGTGAAGTCTTCTCAATTAGTGTCAAATCCATTTATCTTTGCAGGCACTTTAACTTTAGATTGTTGTTTACACCAAAACCCAACCGCTAGATAATGTTACAAACAATCGAAGTAGGGGTATATGAATCGGCCCGTCGATATTTAAACATACTTGCCCTACAATGCACCCGATTAAGGTTTATACTTGGGCATTAATCGGGAGTTTTAAAGTGGTGCATTCGGGTTAAGTCACTGAGATCCACCTACGTCTGCTCCGTGGTGGTCGTCAGCTGCTCTCTAGTTGACCTTAGCTGATCAGTTGTCGCAACCTATTGTACCGCCACATCCTTCAAGGCCTGCATCAGTGCGTCGTGTTTGGTGTGGTCCTTGGCGGTCACGGTTTCCTTCACAGTTTCTTGTGATTTGTTTGTCATCTTCTCAAAATAATGAGTTTTATTTATATCCAAAATATTCAAATACTACCGAAAACCCCTCAAATATCATCCAAAATCCATAAAATAGAAATAGGTGACAATCAAGTCCAAAATAGATAAAAGGCCCAGAATTTATGTTTGTAACAAATTTGCTTAGAATTTATGTTTGTAACAAATTTGCTTTGCCTCACGCTGCTCAAACCAAAATGATTTCACCATTCATAACAATATATAGAAGATGAAGTTATGCTTAGAGACTAGATTGAGATTATTAATTGCCTGTTATATGGTTGATTTTCTTCCATCCAGGTAGCCAGCATAAGGCATGTTATTCAAACAATTTGAAAGGTTCTTTTAATCATAAAAATTCCTTTATCGAGGAACCTGTCAAGCAGGCTCGCAGTGATGAATGTTGTCTCATGGTGGAACTCTTTTGCACATGATTCCGGCTCATTATTCAAAGAAAACATTCCAATATGAAGGATTAGACGAGGAAATTAATCATTATAGGAAACCCGTCTAGAATATGGTGCTATAATAGTAGTACAGTCATACGACTAGCATTCAGCGACTCTAAATACAAGGTTCAAACCAATAATTACACATGTTTATACCCCTATTCTTGAGCCGTTGGAGAAGAGATTCTCGTGTTTTAAACCGATTTCACGCTAGGTTGTGTGTTTATGTCATATTTCAGGGCTTGGCGTTGACGTTGAGGTGAAGAAATGAGTTTCGGGTCAAAAGGAGGACATTTGAGTTGAAGGGTCATGGAGGAGCAAAATACCCGTCCATGAGCAATAATACCCGGCCGGGTAAAATTCTGAGGAGGCCGGGGAAAAGCAGTTTTGGACTCCTAGAAGGCAGAAGGGGTCCCGGCCAGAGAGCGAAAATACCCGATCATGTATTCTTGACCTCGATCGGGTATTATTCCCTGTACCTATGCGTTGCGTTTCGAAATCCCCGACCGAGCACTTGAAATACCCGACCGGGGATTATGGCCGGGGATCGCGAGCAGCTGGTTTTTAAAGGAAAGAAGAACCCATGGAGTAACTTCCACATTCACTTGGGTATGAAGAACTCTAGATTTGATTGTATGAACCCAAGTATGAATCCATTGATTTGATTATATTCAATTGAGGTCTGATTTGTTGAATGACATGAACCCTGATCAAATTCCTGTTATTTCTGCTTTGACCTAGAAAGAGAATATATGCCTAGGTTGATAGAGCACCCTTGATTGAAGGTAGTGAATTGACGACGTTGGTCGAGGAGTCAATTCACTATTCTGTACCGGATTTACTTCGGTGGAGGAGGTTTGGTTCGTTAGGGCCTCAAGCTGTTTACTCTGGTGGAGGTTAGTTGCCCGCCGGGGACTCAGATTGAGAGGGTTTGCAGACCTTTAGTCGAGACTGCAGACTGTTTAAGAACCTCCCGCAGTATAACTATCTTTGAATTCGAACTTGGTAAATTACAATCTGGCTTAACTGCAGTCTAGGGGGAACCATATCCGGGTGACCTCTCTCAACTTGAAAACAACCTTTTACTGCTTTGCTTGCTTGTTTAATGAGACCTTCACTACGTTTAAACCGCTAAATAATAAGAATTCACGGAGTAGTCAGCACCAATGCAGTCAAAAGCGCGATTCTAGCTAGAAGCGGAAAAGGGGTAAAATCATAAAGCGTAGAATCAAAGCGTAAAATGTTAAGTTTTTGAAGCATACTGAAAAATAACTTAAAAGCTAGGACATATACTATGTAAAATATGAATGCACGGAATTTAGATAAGTTAATAAATACATGCAATTCATGCCTCAAGTAGAGCAACTTGTAGCATCTTAATAATAAGTTTGTAAACATAAATTTTAACAATAAGCCACTTCTTCCTCTATGCTAATGCATTCGGGAAGAGCCTAGCTGGTGAATTAGATTACTCTATTAAAGTTGAGAATGCATCCAAGTACATGATATGTATCATTTAATCTCAAATGTATCATATTGTTGGTGATTTACTTTTAAAATATACTTTTTATAATTAATTTCATGAAAAGAATACTCATTTAGTGAACTAAAAGCGTAAAAACGTAAAGCGTTTTGGTGAACTAGAAGCGTAAAAGCGTAAGCTTTTAAGCTTTAAAGCGCAATTTAGTCCGATTTTATACACTTAAGTTTTTATATGGAAACGAAAGCGTTTTGGTGACCTAAAAGCGTAAAATCGTAAG